CCTCCAGGGATGTACTCCAAAATGCTGCAGGAAAGCAGCAGCCAGAACCCCAAGGGAGCACGCCACCATCATCAGCCTGCCATACTCTTGCTCAGGCAGGGAAGCGGACAGCGCGCATAGCCCCTCCATGTCAGTAGCAACCAACCTACAACATCTACTCTTAACAAACCAACAGAATGCCAGCGAGAAGTCAGTTTTTCCAAAGTGGAGGATCTTTGGGGAATTGCTGGACAGGGCGGCACCTGGGCCATTAGGAAGGGGTCACTGCTCTTCAGAGCTCATTGGGGAGAGAATCACTTCACAGACACATGCTCCAAAGAGGGCCCAGGCAGTGGGACTGAAAGCCAAGAACACTGGACTCAATGTGTCTTCCTCTGTGCATGTGATTTCCCCAGCTGTCTCACAAGTTTTCTTTGAGGTCTAGATGTGTTCATAGATGGAAAAAGTGGTCTGCAGTATTGAGCCCTAAGTGTGAACTTGACGATGACTTAGTTTTGCACATGCATGTAACACTCTGAAATACTCCTACATGTCATCTAGATGACACACGGCATCAATAAGACAGAAGCAACATTGTCCTACTCTGTTTTAGTCAGCATCATGCATAGAGTTCTTCAAAGAAAAATGTTAAAGGTGTATCATTATCGTGAGATAAAGGTATTGATAATCAGACCAATCTTTAAAACATTTTTACTTTAAAAAATTAATTCACTCAGGAATGAATGGCTGTTTTTGCTTCATTTTGAATTATCTAGATGACATCATTTTCCTTCTAGCTGTGTCCTGGGGCACATATCATGTAAGAAATCACCATAGGAGATGTGGAGAAGATCCCAGGAGAGGGAGGCTCCTGGCATCCCCTCAAACACCAACACAGCTACTCTTTTGTCTGTTCAAGACATGGGGGCTCTCCATAAGATTTTATTTGAAGAAAGTCATCTGATCCCAGAATACAAAATCTGAAATTAATTTTTCTACATAATTATAAACTGTTATAAAATTCTATAAAATGAAAAATGTGTGATTTAAAACATGTGAGACTGCCTTGGACAAACACTTCCTTTCAAAAAGTGATGATTGTGCAAACAATGATAGGAATATTGGTGTTTACCCAGCTATCTCCTGCTCTCAAAGAAGCTGATGTGCCTGACTCTTCAGCCTCTCCATAACACCGCATATTCAGGAAGTTAGCCTTAGCCTTTTGTACATTTCTTGACATACAGACAAAAGTGCAGAAGAGGTCAATCAGAAAGGGGTTGCTTCTAAACAATACAAACAATAAGATATAATAATGCTTCATAAGGAACTGAGCAAAATGAATTCTAATGTAGAGGTAAAAGCTGTCTTTTCAAAATCTAATAAATCTCTAATAGCATTGCAGCAATGATTTTATTTATCTGTTGTTTATTATTGATTGTATACCTGCCTTACACTTAGATTTGAGTAGACATAAACTTTAAAACTAGTAAAAAAGAGAACACCTTGCAAGACAATATTGTGCAGATATGACATATATGAATTTGTCTGTAAAAAAGTTAATGAGCTACCTGTTTTAAGGTTGTAACTATGAGCATCTGCATAATAACCATAGTATTTAAGTATCTGTGCCTTTCTAAATTATTCTTTGACTTAAAAATATCAACATATCTGTTTTTAAAAACATTCACAGTCCTGTTTCACTAACTTGTAACATTTCAGATGATTTAGAGGAGTGCTTTAAAAAAAAATCTAGAATTGAAGAAACTCCCCACATCTTCCAACCCTGTAGTCTTTATTCGTGTTGACAAAGAAAACCTTTCAAGAATTTTTCAACATGCAGGTGTGCAAATTACTACTGAAATAGACAGGAGTCAAGTTTTCAGTATCCCCTGAACCCCTGTTAAACACACCCCATAGCATTTTCAGCTCATAAAACTTTTATGAGCTGAAAAGTTCCTTCAGATTTTTTAACTGCTAACTACAGTTGCCCCCTGGCCACAGTACCCTAAGTTGCTATTAAGATCCATTCAAGCAAATATAATATAAGCGTGTCCTGAGTAGCATGTTTTGTTTCATAGTAGTAAAAAAAAAAAAAATCAAGATTTATATGACTTGCTGATTACAGCAAAAAATTATGAATGCCTTGGTGTAGGGGTGGGTGGTATTTTTGCTTACTTGGGTATACAGTATATGTAACGGCCAAGTCTATCTTGTGAATAGACTTATGCAAGTGCACACACACACCAGGAATTTTCCAGTCTGGAAGAATGTGCCTTGATACATACAAAGGTTAGTTCTCCAGGAACATATGCTACTTTTCCTTATTAAGGTGTACACCTGCCTTAGAACTCATTAACTAAACATCTGTTTTAGGATTTTTCCCTTGCCAAAGTTCAAAATATTGGTAGATTAAATTTCTCAGAGAAAACAAATAAAATCAGTATAAATAAGCAGTTTTATCTAAGTAGGCCTCACTGTCTTATGAAGACAATAAACAATGCTTTTAGTCTTAAGAAGAATGGCATATAGAGAACACACAAAAACAGAAATACTGATAGGAAGATAGTACGTAGGTAGATAGATGGAGGGGGAAGATAGATACATAGAGATAGATGATAGATTAGATAGAGAGATAATAGAGAGGATAGATACGTAGAGATAGATGATAGACTGATGATAGAGAGAGATTATAGATACATAGAGAGATGATAGATGGATAGATGAAAGATACAGATGATAGAAACGATTAGATAGATAGAAATGTTAGATACATAGAGATAAATGATAGATTAGATAGATAGACAGACAGACAGATAGATAACTCCATAGGTGCATGCTCCCCCCACCCCAACACACCCTCACACATTGAAATTCAGCCTGATGGAAGTAACCAAGGATTACAGAGTTTCCTGACCTATTGTTATTACACAAAACAACAATAGTTAGAAGGCAGATCACGGTCCCAGGTTTTAGAGGTATTAGAAAGGAGAGAAAACACCTATTCACATCTCCCAGGCCTAGCTGAATGAAGTCCACAACTCACATATAAACATACCCCTCTGTATAACTGTTTCAGGGTCGGGTTACTCAGACCCCTCCATTTCAAATAACCATGTATGGCTCTGTTCTTTTTTCTGATGGCTGTCAATTCTTACAGGGAGATCAAGTTTCATGCTTTCCACTTTGTATCTGATCACCATGCCCTTAACCAGCAGCTCCCCATTTAGAAGTGTTGTGCTTTGTTTTGTTTTTACCCTTCTCTCTCCCCCAGCGCCCACCATAGAAGAGTTTTTAACTGCAGAACATTTTTGCTGTTTCATATTGTTTGACTCAACTCATCTACACTAACAGAAGATTAATAGAAGTTGAAAAAAATTCTGCATGGTTAGTCATTCAAATATTTTTTTTTTAAGTCTCTCAAATTAAGTATCGGTAGTAATTTACTTTTTACTTCTCTTCCTTTTTTCCCCACAGTTACATCTTTCTTTATCTTTTTCAATCCTATTAACAGCAATCCTCTTCCCACCTCTTAGCAATCTATCTTCCTCCTCTACTCCAGTTTGGAGAGATGGAGAAGGAATGTCAAAGAGAGGAAATATGTCATGGTTTCCAAGAAATAGCATCATGGCTGAGAAGCTCATGACCGAATCCTGGCCTCTTTGAGCTGCACCGGGAAGTAGAGATTAACTTTAATCCTCTGTGGGCATGTTCTCCGCTCTACTATTCACTGCCAAGCAAAAGTTTTCACACTGAGAGTATTCTGGACAGTAGAAACATGTAGAAGCCATGAAGTTTCCACCTACATCACTAGTTGCAAACTGACCTGACAATAAAGCCACCTATTTTCTTTCAACAGGCGCACTCCTGAGCTCTCTAATGAAGATGCATCATGCTTCAGATAAATGACAGAAAAATGAGGAGAATATTCCACCAGGAGGAAGATGCCAACAAGACGTTTTTCTAGTTGGCTTCTCAGAGCCAGGTCAAGAAATAATTCATTCGCTTAATTCTTATATTAAAACTAGAATACAGCTACTGATCAAAATCATTTATCTTAATTTTTAATTAAAAAGAGACAAACACATGTGAACTGATCTATTGAACCCTACACTTACATGTTCTCAACTCAGCTTACCAAATTTAGAAAATTGTATAGTCTCACCTTTAAATAGCCATAAGTCGCATTTGATAATGACAATTGCAAGCATTAATGAATGCAAAGAACCAGCTTTTGAGAATTCTGACAGAAAGCTACAATATTGGAGTGGGATAAAAGGCACCACAAACAATCCTAGAGGTCAAGCAAACCATGAAATAAACATGACAGCCTGGAATTTAGGAAACAGAGGTAATGCTCACATATCCACTTTCTGAAATTACAATGGATGCAATGAATTACTGCACAGTTTAGAACTGAGCTGGACTGTATTTGTCCTAAATAGATAAAGCCGCAAAATTTGAACATATGTTGCATTTACATTAAAATAACATTAATAACATATAAATAAACTATAGACCTGTTGCCCACCCCAAAAGTCATATAATAAACCTGCAAAATGCTGGAAGAGAAAAACCAAAGCAAACCTTTGGATGTCTTTCTGTGAACCCTAGGGTTATCCCAAACCATTTGAGCTGTCCACATTGTAAGTACTGAAGGTTAATAGTTCAAGACCAATGGAGTGTTAACACAGGCTAGTGCTATGCTTGAGTAATGATGTATGGAAAGACACTGAAATTAAAACACTGTGTTCTGCACATTCTGAAGTGTTGTAGCGTGATGGTTTGATTATATTAGATGGCAAAGCAGGGCTTCTGATGACCTTTAAAATAAAATTGTATCTAATATTCTTCCAAATTGTTTAACATATTCTTCCAATTCTTGTACAAATATATGAAGCTAAAACATTTATTTTTAACACTCCAATTATCTTCTAATGGCAGCATTTGGTATGTTGATTTTTTTTCCCCAAAAGTAAAATGCCGATTGCCTTCAAGGGTAGGTCTAGAAAGCAAAGACTTACCTGTCTTGTTTTCTCTGACCTCAATAATATAAACATTAATGTCAGGGTGGAGTTTTGTCCCCTTGGGGGGCTGTAAAGTGGAAGGTGACTGAGGTTCAAAGGCCTCCCTGCCCTCCCCAAGGGGTGGTTGAGCTGGCTGAGTAGCAGAAGGAATGCTTGAGGTCGTGAAATACTCTCTATCGATATCACTCTCTGTTTCCTTGCCAACAATGTCATCAAGGGTTGTGGGAGGAACACGAGACGTGGATTCTCCAATAATGACCATGTCACTCGTTGTCTCTTCCCCAGGCTCCCTGTCGATGAGAGGTGGCTTCTGAGTGAATGCTGAAGACGACTTGAACACCAACGTTGTATGAAGTCTATCGACAGCAGTCACATCACTTGGGGCTGTGGCTGTCATTGCTGAAAATTCTGGGAGTTCTGTGGCTACGGGCTTTTCAAATAAACCTGAACCTAAATCAGTATACTCCAGGGGCGTTCTCTCTTTCTTCTCAATAATGGTTTCCTCTAGAAGCTGGGTGACACGTGTGCTAAAGGGACTCTGAGGGATGGGACTGCTACCTTCTACTTCATATTTTTGTTCGGGCCCTGGACTCAAAGGCACTTTGGGCCCCATGCTTGGTGTGAGTGTCCCCACTTCATCTGTTTTCACTTTGTGCTCAGTTACAGCACTAGGTGGATAAGACACACCATGATCGATTTTTCCAAGTGGAGTTGTTTTGAAAACTGGGACACTCTCAGAGCTTGTTACCAACTTATCTTCAGAGACTGTATATGCAGAACCTTCTTGTTCATCCAGTGGTGTTGCTGCCTCCTTGGGTATCCAAGCTGTAGAACTGAGAGTAGTAACTGGTTTCTCTGTAGTCCGTTCTTGCCAAGGGAATTCTTCCTGAGTTTTCTCCTGTGTGGTTTCTGTTGTTCTCACAGCTTTAGGAAAAACAGTTGCTTCAAGGTGAGTCTGATCAATAACACGTACGTCTTGAGAGGGTTCGCTCAGAATTTCGTCTTCTGATGGAACAGAAGGCACTGACACTCCCCACTCTCTCTTGGGAATTACAGACAGAGGAATGGAAGAGGATGAGTCTACATAAGTAGTAGGCTCCTGGGTACTACTATAATGAGCAAATGCCAATCCTCCCACCTCAGAAGTGGGTGGCAACTGGGGAACAGTAGATAAAGGCTTAGAGATGTCCACATCTTCTCTTTCACCCAAAGCACTTCCTTCCATGGTTGCATCAACAACTCGGTCTTCTGTGCTTGTAGATGCTCTCAAAGTTGACTCTTCTGCAATACCAGTCAATGTAGTTGGCTGAAACCTAACTGTGAATTTCCCATGGGTTTCTAAGTCTTTCTCAGTAATATCCTCTAATTGCTTTTGAGTACTAGCTGGGCTAAGAGTGAACTCATCTCCTCTATCTTCTGTGAAGCTTGGGAGTTCTTTATCCTGCCCATTCATCCCCACAGAGGTGAGTGAGGTGGGGGGAAATTTTGGAGAGCCTAGATGTTCTGTAGGCTCTGAAGTCTTCAATGTTGCATTATCTTCATCCCACAACCATTTAGATACAGTGACCACCTCAGCATTTAAAGTACCATGGGTCAAATGCACTGTTGGAATGTATTCATCATACTTTATACTATCTTGATAGCCATCTGTTTCTAACCCAGTGGGAGCTGTTGTGAAGTCTTCATCCACGTCTCTTACTTCTGTTGGCTCCACACTTAACTTTGTTGCTGTCAGTGCTGGGAAATCCAAAGACTCGGTCATTCCCACAAAAGACTCTGTAAAGTGAATTTGCTCTGAGGAAGACATAGAGAGCTTCGTTCCAGAGAAGCCTTCTTCTTCTTTCTTTCCCATAAGTGGATGTTTAGTGATCATTTCTTGCATCTCATCATCTGTATAAGTAACTGTTTGCATCTCTGGTTTGAGCATTTCTGTTCTTTCCCTTCCTCGTGTCATTTCTGTTTGCGGAGAGGAATAAATAACTGTGGATATTCCCTCTACTAATATTTTATCACCAGAATAAGGAAACAATTCTACTTCTCTGTGATACTGTGATGGAAAAGGTGTAGTAGACAGATACTGGCCAAAAGAATCTTCAGTTATCTTACCATTTGTGCGTCTTTCTCCCCAGTCGCCTGTAGATGATCCATTGTTGTCAGACATAATTAAGGGTGAAACAGGTGTGGATGCTGAGACCAAATCTGAGTCCTCTAGTTGAGTATGAGTGGTGTCTTCCAAAGTCTTTGACACTGTAATGACTTCAGGTATTTGGCTAAAAACCAAGGTGCTCTGACCAGACCTAACTGTAAGTGTTCTGTCTTCATCACTGTCTTCTCCCACAGTGAACCCATAGCGGCCTGTGGTCACCAACTCAGAAGGAGTGCCTACTGTTTTCTTTTCAGTTTGGGATTCCAGGGTCATTCTTGTGGATACAAATGGTGTTTCAGTTGCAGAGAATTCCCTGGAAGGTGTATGCTTGGCGATTTCCACAGATGTTGCCAAGGGACCCACTTCTATCTGTTCAAACTGTGTAACAGACTCTTGCGTTTGTGAGTCTTCCATGACCCCATCCCAGGAATCTGTAGCATGATGGGGGATGATCGTTGTGCTTTGGAGCCCTTCTTCCTTAATTTCTGAGGTGTCTGGCTTTCCAAGAGGACCTGAGGCAGAAGGCAAGTAGTAGTCCAGTTCCCAAGGCTCCTTGGTACCCGCAGCAGGTGTGGGCAGTTCAGTGGCTGCTCCCTCTGTGACAACTTGAGGTTGGACTGTGACTTTTTCCTCGAAATTGACAATATTCCCCACAGGAGGGAACTTTGTTGTACCAACAGGTAAATCGCTGACTAAAGTAATGGCTGGCATAGTTCTAGCAGATACCACCTGTGGCTCTCTGGATAAACTGGGTGATGCAGTTTCTGCGAAGATATTCAAATCGATGATTGTAGCCTCTGATATAGTCTGTTTAGCTAGAAAAATAATTTCAAAGAGTTGATTAGACAAGTCACTAATAAAAAAAAAAAAAACCGTATGCCCAGAGTTTGCTAAGAGCTGCTGAGTACTTTGGGGTGACCCAAAAGCGTTTTGTGATAGAGAGGTGTCTACAAACTATACTTAAATTAACCCAAAGACAGATGACTGAACACTATACTAAGAGTTATCACTGCTTTTACCCAATGGCTGTTCTCAGTTAAGGAAAATGAATATTATATAGTTTTAAAGAGAAACTGTAAAAAACTGTCAATGCAGAGTTTGGACACAGTAGATAGCTTATTTGTCAGAAACTACAGCAGCAACTTGAAGCCCAATAGAAGCGCTTAGTACCATGGTTCTAAAGGATTCTGCATCCTGGCTCTGGCTTTCTCTGCTTGGAATCTCAGGGGAGAGGGTGTGTCTCAGAGGGTGTGCTTTTTTGTTACAAAACAACAAAAAAGCCACATCAAATGTAACCAAGTGACATATAAACCAATACATTGTCCATTATTTTTCCTAAAAACTGGACATTAAAACTTCTTAATACCACTCTTCACTTGATGCAGAGGATAGACACTCATTTTCGTCTACCTTTCAACCCTGTAGATAGATGCAGTTCTCATAAATCATCTGATGTGTCTGGCAGAGGCTGCTTGGCACTGGTTGAAGTTCTGCATTTTGTTCTGTGTCCTACACACTATGCCTATGCCTCGTAAGGCTCTTGGTTCCAGGCTTACTTTAGCATGAAACACAAATGTAGGACAGGAAGTAAAGAACCCACATAATGTATTTTAGGTCTGTAATTACAAATCACTGGAAACAACTCTGAATATAAAAAAGGGGGGGGGGCTCAGGCAATATAAAGTAACCTATCATCATAAAATGCTGCATTATAATGCCTCCCAATTTGCAGAGAATGGCCAGGACTGTTTAAGGAAATTTAGACTATGTATAAAATTGGCAGTTTGTAAACCAAATTCCTTCCCAACACAGGGAAAATGCAGCAGCCTAGCACATGAAGACTGTGTTTTCTTAAAAAGAAATGAGTATTTTTGAGAGTCAAAAAGTAATTGTTCACTGAACTCGAAAGAGCTGCTCTGAGGAAACCAGCAGTCGTTTTGTGACTTAAAGCAAGCGATGTGGGTCGTGCCAGCCCACCCTTGTAGAGTTGGTGCATCTGCTGAATCTACAAAGCCTTGATTCTTACTTTTAATAATCCCCAAACAGAAGCCCTCAAAACAAAACTGGAAATTTTTAGCTCCATCTGCTCTATCAAAACTTAATCATAAAACGATGTGATTTTGTTGTAAATCAGACTAGGGCTGTAATAGGTTCTTCAATTTTTGTCTGGCATGAGCTGTTATTAGCCGTGGTCACTCCCCAGACCATTGTCAAGGCCAACTTCATAGATTTTATGATGAAAACTTGATGGCTATTTCCAGTATGTTACATTTAAATATTCTTTAAGGGCTGTCATTACTTATCTTTTTATATTAAAACAAAACTAAGAGTCTTTATAGGAATATTTAATAACTTTTTTCTCTTCATTTCCTGGAAGAAGCGTTGGTCTATTTTGATTGACATGAACAACTTAAAGACCCAAAATGCAGTTGACTATTTTCTTTTAATTCAATTCTCTATCCTCTGAAATTCCATAACCATGACTTCATTTAACTGCCAAATTTCATGTTTGTCTTATAAGTGTATTCTTTGGGGAAACAGTTTTTAAAAATGTACAGAAAAAGTTCCCATGGAAATATAATATAAATACTTAGAAAAACTGCATATAAGAGAAAATTTGATCAGATTATTATTAATAATAACCAAAAAAAGCTAAATTTACCTTTTCCCTCTGAGTATTTCCATGGCTGTTGAAATTAATTTGAAAAGAGGCTCTCTTGCATGAGGGCCAAACATGGGATCTGGGAATCGGGTCTTCCGTGTTTCGACCCAACTCTGTACAATGAAAACATCTGTACAGTGTTTCAAAAGTGAACTCATATTTTGAAAACTAAATAGCTGTATTTCATTGTCCATTACCACTGTAGTGTCTGCTGCTGCCTTTCTCTAGTCCCACTACATGGTAAAATCACAGCACTGTCTCAGAATCTGCTCTGCAAAGCCAGTATTTGTGTGATTTTGTCTTCAAAAACAAGGGTTTTCAGTAATTTTAGAGCCCTGTTAAGAAAAGTTTGCTCATAATTGAGTTAATTAATTCTACTACTTGGAATAGAAAACCTCAACTTCCTTTTGGGGTCGTGTGGCTTTTCAATAACTTAACAGCTGATTTCGATCACAAGTCAGCCTATCTGATCATCTGTGCAATTTGTTTCAGCCATTTCCAAAAAAAGAAATAACTTTAAAAAGCACAAAATCTAAGGGATATCTTAAGCATAAAAATCTTTCATATGATGAAAGTCATAAGGATGACTATTATAAAGGTAAAAACACAACTCCAGATTATTCTGAAAGTATCCTTCCAGAAGGTAGAAGGAGAAGTTTTGGTTTTGGAAAACTACCAGTGTTCCTCCAGTTTCATTATTACTGAGGAAGCCAACAGAAATCAGTGAACTTCTTTCCCACAAAAGTCCCCTCCCGGTCTCTGCAGCTGTCTGCTCACAGATGTCTCACATCATGGTGCTGATAGCATTTCGTTCTATGGACTATCTCCTCTGTGTGTCTGCTGGGAGACATGAGGCAGATTTTCCTAATAAAACATAAAACTCCTATTGGCAGCATGATAGTCGATTTAACTCATACCCGTCCTGTCTACACTAGAGAGAAATGACTATTTTCAGCTTGGTTCTTCTATTGAATTTGCTACACATAACTAAGTCTGAGCATTTCTGGGAAAAGTGTAAAGACTGGAAAAATGGAATGTGAATTCAAACTACCTTTTGAAAGTTTTGTGAGTGATGGAATGCTAAGAGATTCAAACTCAATAAACAGGAAGCATTTTTAAAATACCAATTAGGGAAGGATTAGTTTTGGCACATATGGTCAGATTATGAACTAGGGCACAAAAAAAAGATAATGAGCTCACCACAGGTTAGAAGGGCAGGCCAATTCTAAAAGGGAACAAGTCCATAGGGTTAGCACAGGAAGTGGTGGGAACCAATTCAGCTTTCTCTAGACCACTGTTTTGAGTTCCAAACTTAATCAGAGGGATGTGAAAAACAAGGGAACTTCAGAGTAAGATCACATCCGTGATTTGAAGTTTAGAGACTGAAATTTCAGAACAAAAAAAAAATGTTTCAGTTGGAGAAGATGCTGAGGGACAAATAAATAACTATATCTAATCATAGAAATGACTGTTATTTAGATTTTGCTCTCTAACTGTAAAAAGGAAGCATGGGTTCATATCTTAATGCAATATATTTGGATAATTAAAAAAATTATCTAAAAGTGATGACTACAGAATATTAGAATGGGTTTTTCAGGAAACAAGCTTCATCTGTCTCTCCTGAAGATCATTAATAATATTCAGTGAAATATTAGCATGAGCCCTCAATGGTTCTGGTTCCCTTAAATTTAGGGATGTATGAAACGATCTTTCAAAGCCCTGCATAACTCTTTCACAGAACTTACTTCACTCTGAGATCAAAGAAAAGTGAATAGTGCACAGAGTTCAATCAAGGAAAAATACACAGGAAATCTTTATTTCACAGACATTAGTTTACCTGTTCTTCAAATCTATTGGACAAAAATAAAGTCTAATTATATCGTTTATCAGCCATGGTGAATATACCAGTCTGTGACGTTACGAGGAAAGGGGAATTAAAGCAAAGCAAGATTTGGCATTGTTCATTCACCAAGTGACTTAAAAAACATTTTCTAATTTGGTAAATGCAAACAAGAAGAATATGGTTGTATTTCTAAATTCCTCGATTTAACTGATCAGCAGTACACCTCTAAAATCCCTTCAGAACTGCAGCTGAAGCCATGACGCATACAGACTTTACAGAATTCAGTCATGACTTGACTATGTTGGAAAACTGAACATCAGTTGTCATCTTGAAAATATTTTTCAAATTCTTTAAAAATATATATTAAAAGAATTCATGAAAAAATGAGTTATAAACTTGGGAAAGTTGTTGGCAATATGTGCAATTTAAGAAAAACTTGTATGTACTAGCTAAACATTTTTACTTTTTATGTGCTGAATAAATGTGGAATATAATAAGGTATTGGGTAGGAAAGAAATAAATAAGAATCTAGCCACTAGCTTAAGAGGTAACAAAAAAAACCAAAATATGAATTCATTATATTTCTAAGTCATACACATTTGAATGAATTAGAAATTTTAAAAAATGAACATAAACCTTCAAATCTTTTTTGGTTTTATGTAGATTTTTAGTCAGTGGTTTTTCTATTTGAATCTAAGAGCCTCATCCTTTCACACATTCCTTTGAATTTGTTTAAATAAGAAATTTAAAACACAACAGTTAAATTCTCTAACAATCTTTGTGGCTATAGGCAGTCTTTGAGTTAAATTTTACCCTCAGAGATTTAAAAAATAATGTTGTTTATAAGTTTCCTAATGCCAGTCTTATAAAACAAGAAAATATGGTCGAGTAGGGCGGGCAGGCTGGGGAAGCCCCCTTCTCTCATCTCAGCTCTCCAGGTCCGTCCTCCACACGACCATCAGATTCTGTTCCAGAAACATCGAAGTCACTTAATGTAAAGCCTGGACTACCTGAACACCTCTGTTGAACGAATGCGGCTTACAGAAATGCACGTCAGTCTACTTTCGCGGAGAAGGAGGTTTTTGTGATTGTTGTTTGTTGCCCTGAAAATGATTAAGGAAGATGTTTTCTGTTGTTTCAGGACCTGAACACAAAAGCTAGTATTTTTTTTTGAGGACCAGCTAGCATGTGCCAAGCTAATACGGACATAACACATGGGAGAGAGAAGTATATGAAACCAACCTTTTCTGCGGCACTAACGTCTGCTCCATTGGCCACTTCGACTTCACAGTTCTGTATCTTTTTTGTTGATTAAAATGCCAATGTATTTTACTTTAAAAACCAGTTGTATAATAAGCCAGTATAGTTTCTACTAAGGTTAGCTACATACTGCTATTACAAGACACATTGGAAACTTAGTCTGATATACCTTGACTCTGTCTTGTATATACCCAAGGTCACCAAAACTTCTGGGAAATCTTTGTTTAGCTAACACAGAACAGGCTCTACAGTAAACACTATAACAAGACTCTAGATGACTTGCTTAATTATACATTTTACAATTATACTATATGTGACTATTATTGCTAAGATAATTTAAAGACATCTGAAAAATTAAAATAATTATATCAGAAATGTTGTGAAATGTCATTTAAAACTAATTTGAAGTAGTAACCCTAACTGAAGATAGTCTATTTATGCTCCATGCTGTAAAGGACATCTATTGTCTCTTAATAGACTATATAATTAATCAGTAGAAAGCACATATTTACATTATTTGAAATAAAATGAAATATATGGAGATTCTTATTTATAGCATGTCTCATTTTTAGGTATTAATTGAATATTATGAGTATCCCTGTGTGCTCCAAGTACTCACCTGCAAATGCTGAAATTTAAATTCCCCACCATCTCAAAGAAAGAGTGATAGGAAACAAAAACAAAATAAACAGGATTCAAGGACTTCCCTCAGCCCGGTTGGCCTCTGCATTACAGCACCAACAATTGATTGGCATGCAAGGACAGCAATTCATATACAATAACTACTCAGAAAAGTGTTCTGTGACTCTGGGCACAACCAGGCACAGCCAAGAACTTAACTTGCTGCTTCCTCATCCCCTCTAAAAATCCGCTTGTCCCACTTCCTGCAGGTTTAGTCACATTGCTACTGCTCACTGTGCTTGCTCTGGAAAATCCCTGAACTGCTTCCACCCCATGTGCACATATAGCAAGACACAGAATGCATGCCAATGACTAGCTGAACACCAATGCATGCCTTCCAGGTACTGCTTTTTAAGCTGTAATTCTTAAAGAGACGCCAAACACTTACGTTTATAGCAGTAGGCATCAAATCTGCTATCAGGGGGAGGGAAGCATGTCTGGTTCTCATAACGATACAGGGTTCTCACCCCAAGGAGACCACCTCCACACTGTGCCCTGGCCACAGTCACAGGGTGGCGCACGCTGGCATCCAGCAGCCACCCGTAATCGCATTGGTCAAAGCCGTTCCTCCAAGCAGCATGCAGTTCTCCCACCGTGGCCAGCCTGGCTTCCTGGTCCCCACATGCCTCTGCAGCCTCCTCAAAGGTGAACTTGTGGGGAGCGGTGATGTGGAACACGTCGCCTGGAAGAAGAGGGAGAAAGGGCCTCAGTTTTACAATTCATTGTTTCCTATTTAGATAAATCTAGGGGGCTTGTGGGGAGCAGGTGATGCTTTTTCATGGCAAGGTAGCAGATACCTTCAAGCACAAAGCATAATGGTCACTTAACCTTGTTATAATTAATAGGTAATAATAACACGTACCAGGAAATTTCACTGTGTGTGTGTGTGTGTGTGTGTGTGTGTGTGTGTGTGTGTGTGTGTACATAGGCCACAGAAGCAGTCATTTGATAATCAACATTTACAATAAATCCTTCAAAGTAAACAAATCTTTCCAAAGGATGCTTTGGATTATGGACCGGTAAGGGACTTTTATCTTTAAGGAAAAGCCTGCCATGTACTTATGAACATTGCATGCTGGAAGGGGAAGTTGGACAGAGCTGCCACCAAGGCTACCCACATTGCTTATCCTAAAATCAAATCATAATTCCCTGACCCCTGACCCTCCTCCTTATTAACACCTCCTTATCACCACCACCACCACCAAGATAGATTAAATTCCATTAAATCAGACAAATCCATAAGGAAACCTCCAGGAATTTGACAAAAGAAAGGACAGGAGCAGGACAGAATTCTACTTCCCTCCTTCATATTTGGGTGTGGAGCTGCTGAGATGGTTTTGCAAGGGGGACTCTAGCGAGGTTCAAGAAATGTTTATGTCAGCCGGGCTCGGTGGTCAGCCTGTAATCCTGCGCCTTTGGGAGGCTGAGGTGAGTGGATTGCCTGAGCCCGCGGGTTCGAGACCCGCCTGGGCAACTTGGCGAAACTTCATCTCTACAATAAATTAAAAAATCAGCCGGGCGTGGTAGCGCATGCCTGTAATTCCGGCTACTTAGAAGGCTGAAGTGGAAGGATCACCGGAGCCCAGCAGGGCGAGGCTGCGGTGGCCGGGAGCGGCCACTGCACTCCAGTCTGGGCGACAGAGTGAGACTCCAACTCAAAAAAAAAAAAAAAAAGAAAGAAATGTTTATGTCTGTGACTGATTAACAAGGAAAGACTGTACATTTATTTATTTTTCTTATTACCAGGTCCATAGCGGAGAGTATATTCATTGTCATTTAACATGTTACAAGAAAATATTCTGGAAATTTCTGAGTTGCTCAATTGGAATTTTACTTGGATACCTGACATAATTTGCCGAAAGAAATTCAATTCAGATGAAATGATGCTTTTCACATATGAGCACAAGTGACTAACAGAGGGAGAATAGAACAGCTAAGCAAACACAGTTGGCAGGAGAGGGAATAAAAAAAAAGACAGGGAGAATGTTGAAATATGGATGGCCCATTAGTGTAGCAGCCACGGCCCATTCCCATCATGGAGACCGGCCTCTGATTCCGCAATACATTAGAACACTGGGATGCGAGGGTCTCTCGGGTCTCAGATCTCTGCCTAAGTCCAGATGTAACAAGCAACTGTGTAAAACGAACAGCACCATTACACTCACCAAATGTGGGATAGTTTTATAAAACAAGAAAATTCAGTCATGGGAGAAACGGCCAAAGACCACACATCAGCTTTTCTCACTAGATATCCAAAACTGCTACTAAAGAAATGAGGCCAAATTACAAGAAGAGCTATTTGAGGAAGAGAAAGAAAGATGGCTTCTACCTGGCTGACAGAAATGGTAGAGGTCAAAACAAGTGTTCAGCCTTGATCGTCTAGTCTGGAAAAGAACCATAATCTCAAATCCAGAAAACACCTAAGAACAAATTCCTTTCCCAAATCCCACCATGCCTCCTCTACTAAAGCATTTAAAGTCAGAAGGGTCAAGGTGCCAGTTACATAGTGTGTTTTTGTTCTTGTTGTTGTTTTGGGGTTTTTTGTTTTTGTTTTTATTTTTGTGTTTTTGAGTTGGAGTCTCACTCTGTCACCCAGACCGGAGTGCAGTGGCATGCTCACGGCTACCGCAGCCACGACCTGCTGGATTCAGGCGATCCTCCCACCTCAACCTCAACCTTCCAAGCAACTAAAATCACAGGCACATGCTTTAAATTTTTTTATTTATTGTAGAGATGAGGTCTTGCCAAGTTGCCCAGGCTGGTTTGGAACCCTTGGGCTCAGGCAATCCTCTCACCTCAGCCCCCTAAAGTGCTGGGATTACAGGCATGAGCCACCACACCCAGCCTCATGTGTTCAATCCTGTTGTGTAATAAATGACAACTCAACTTCCTGGGAAGAGATGAAGTGCTCTTTTTCTTGTATTCCATCCTCCCCATTGTAAAGTTCTGCATGGACAGCAGCCAGCACAGCCTCTCCTCTCAGCTACGGACTGGTTCAAATAACATGGAGACCAGCAGAGAGAATTGTGCCTCCCAGGGCAGTCTCCTATCCCCAAGGAACTGGAATGTGAAGAGGGTGGCCAGCTGACGCTGTCTCTCCAAGGTAGGACACTCGGGTGCGTGATGACAGCTGCAATATAAGTTTCTCGGCCTTTGTTTTCTGCTTCTCCTGAGATGCAAAACTCTGAGGCAAAACTCCTGCTCCTCGAAAGTCACAACCGTGAAACAACCCACCATAGCGGGGCAAGAAAGTATCACTAATTGAGTAAAACTGCACTTTTACAACAGCACCACAGTCTATATGTCAGGGAGCACCAACTTCTCCAAGTGAGACCAGACCCAAAGGCCAACAAAGAAAAAGACAGCATGATGTCACAGGTAACTATTCCCCAGTTGTAGACACAAACATAATTTGTGGTAGGTGCTGGCCAGTTATGAAGAGAATTTCCTTATTACTAAGTCAATTCAGACCTAGTTATATAACTTCTCATGTAGAAACTCCTGTTGAATTTGACTTTATATCAAAGTATCAATTATTTGATTCACTTGTTTGGAGTATACAAGTTTCACTTGTCTGTTTGATACCCATCGAATAGTGAGTATCACTATAGTGAGTATCAAGATCACCACTTTTTCTTTCTTTCTAATTAAAAAAAAAGTGGGCTCTGTCTATACTGCCCAGGTTGAAGTGCAGGGGCTAGTCAGGACAATCATAATGCACTACAGCCTTGAACTTCTGTACTCAAGTGATACTCCTTCCTCAGCCTCCCAAATAGCTGGGACTACAGGCATACTCCACCACACCCAGCTTGTCCTTTTCAGTCATGCATAGGAACTTTCAAATACTGAAAATAAAAAGCTTTAAAAACATATTGAAAAAGTCATTACCATTGGGTTTCTTGTAACTCATGAAAAAAGGAAGATTTAACTGGAATCAATTGAGTTAAATTTAAAGTGAAGATTGAAAGAATTAATTTATTAAGTCGATGTGTGGTCAGTTATTATATGTGTGTCAATTATCATTTTATTTCAGAATAAAGAGAAAAAGAAAATGAAAACATTTACTTTAATTTTGTTCCAAAAAAAAAATTATCTAGGCCTTCCTCCTGAGTCATGGTTTAGTCTGAATATTTTCTCAAAATTTAACGATATAGGGAAGCTTCTACACTATGGGACTCACTGAGTGGGCCTTTAATCTCTTGCAGCAAATACCTAATCTATACCAAGTGTGAATCATGAACTATTCAATCTTCTGTCCCATGTATTGACCTCCTATCACTAAGGCCAAGATCTCTGCACATGGGTCTTTCATGTAATTACTTGGAAAACATTTCTCTAGAGACATATGTTTCCACCAAAAGGAATTTCAGTTGATCGATGACACACATAACTTAATATCAGGTTTCCGGTATGTGCCAACCTGCTCAAGGTAGCAGCAGAATGAGTGGACCATGTAACCAAGCAGAGTCAAAGCAGGAGAGCTTGAAGCAAAGTGTCTACAAAACCAATCACCTCCCAGGGTTGTATCAAGACCATAAGTCGGCTAAAGGGGACCAGGGCAGAGCAGGAACTCTAACAGAATATCCAGGACAGCAGTTGAAGCCAAACCCAGAAAGAGGTCATTTCTCAAAAAAAAAGTTCATTTTGCAAAAGAGTAAACCGAGGTACAGCAGTGAATCAAAGCAGCAGTCTTCCTCAACAAAGAATTCCCTACGTGAGTCTTTCAACCTCATACCCCACAGAAAAATGCAGATTCTAGGCTGAACACTGACCACTCTTACACTGAGAAAAGCACTCAAGATGTTAACATGTTCAAAGTTTCTGTTGATCCATGTTCACTTTTTAAATCCATAGTCAAGAATTACTTATAAGTCAAAGTAGATGTTCTAAACCACAGCACAATGGAATGGAATGACAGAAATGAAGTCCAGGCTGGGAACAGCAATGCACATCCAGGCTTGATCCAAAAATGTAGGGTCATATGAGGATATATCCAAAGAGAAAGTCTACAGTCCAGAGACAAAGCCAAATCAGGAAGCAAAGAGACAGGCAAAAGAGAGAGCCCCTGGTCCCAACAAACATGAAAATTGGGCAAAGCAGCTCACTACATGCATTTGGTTGCTGTCTCTCAACCCAACTGAGTGGGCCCAGCTGTGTAAGTGCTTCCCTGAAGGGATATCTTAAAGACCTTCTGTATCTGATGTGAATAATCAAAACTCTTTCTGAGTGTTTACAACAGTACCACCTTCAGAGTTAGAGAAGGAAACTCAGTCTCCTGAAAGTGCTCACTTTATTAACATAGGAAAAGGGTGTTGTCCCAACTTCTACATATGTATACCCAAACAATAGGATGTATTTTTAGATTTGCTGCATAGCTGCCCTCCTGGAAAACAAGCATCTTTTTGACAGTTTGACAAGAAGCTTACTAGGAAGTTCCAGGATTAGCTTCATCAAAGCAGCTACATTGACAGGACTCTTCGAGGTGTAACTAGAGCACAGATTTGGAACATGTTTCTAAAAGTTACCTACCTGTTAGGAAATATTTTATTTTTCCATAATTAAAGACATGAAATAAAATGTCAGGAAATAAAAAAAATATTTTATGCAGACAAACTGATGCATTACTTAAGATGTCAAGTCAAGTTGTTATAGGCAAGAATTCATCGAAATGTTTGCATATAT